ACATAGACTCGAGCTTGAGTTGGGCTCGGGCTTTGTCCTGATTTCGAGCCTTAGGCTCAGACCTGGGTTAGGGCCTTGATCTCGGATCCAATTTTAGGCATTGGGCTTAGACCCAAGCTCAGGCCTTGGGCTCTAACTCAGGCTCGAGGCGAGTCTCAAGCCTTGTTCTTTATCCCATTACTTGGGCAGTAGGTAGCTTAGGCTCGAAACTGTGCCTCAGTACTTGAGGATTGACTCGGGTTTAGGTATGGGGCTTGGCGTAAGGCTCAAGTTTTGTGCTCGGAGCTTGTACTTAGGTGTTAGACTCAGAATCGGGCCTTGGCCATCGGACGTCGAGCGAGCCTTGATCCTTGGGCCTCGGGCAAGGCCTTGGGGTTGTACTCAGATCCAGGCTTGAGTCAGGTCCAGTATCGGACCTGAACCCCAGCCTTGGGTTCGGACTCGGGCTAGGGCCTTGCTCTCAGACCTAGTCTAGTGCCTTGGGTTCAGAGTAGGAATCAGACCTTAGGATTGGACCTAGGCTCAGTCCTTGGGCTCAGACTTAGGCTCGAATCTTGGGGCTCTTTTTTGTCTCATACCGGACGGGGTAATGAGATTTGGTAATTTAGCACTCATACTGGACGGGGTATGGGGACGATCTATTTAACCCTCATACCGGACAGGGTATTGAGGTTTAGTAATTTGGCGTTCATACCGGATGGGGTATGGAGACGGTCTGCTAATTGAGAATATTAAAGAAAAAGGTTCATGCGTACTGAGGACATATCTCTGTACCCCCATGGATACTATTAGGCTGATGAAAATGGACAGTTGTTGTTTTGATTAATTGAATATAAAATATTAATATGCGCATGTTACCGATTGCATATGAAATCATGATAAGTGTTATGTTATTATTTTTATAGGTTGTTTTAGTAAATCTCACTACAGTAAGTGGACAGTAAATTATTTTTATTGTTAATAAATGAATTTGCTTAATTAAGTGATCTATTAATTGTCTTAATTTTTTTACCAACTTTTATTTCTGTATCGGTGAGTAGCGTGATATTCTTACTGAGCTATTATTCAGAGTCCAATCCATAAAGGACTTGCGAGTAGAATACTAATCTTATTTATTTTGCATTTATTTTCTTATTTTTTGTATTTCTTTCAAAAGAGTAATTTTTGTAACACTATTCGGTATTTTAAGTTATTGTGTAAGAAATATAAATCTTAATTATTTATTCCGCTTTCGCGCTTAGTTTATAATTTATTTTATTTTTTGGTATTTTTGGGATTGTTACAACTGTATTATATAAAATTTTTAAAAAGACAATAGAAATTTTATAAAATATAATAATAGCTTTTTAAAATATTTTTTATGTAAATTTTCACTAACAATTTTAATACGTCCTTTCTGTAGCATTTATTATTTTAAGCCCAAAATGTAAATTCCATCGTGCAAAATCCAAGTCGTGCCAAAGGAAAAAAAAAAAACCCCTATCAACTTTTTCTTTCTTGAACCTTAATTAGACCAACCATTTTACCCCTTCGCACCGCATCATAAAACCCTAGAGAACTTTCATCTTCTTCCCTCATCCTGCTACGGTGGTAGCTGCAAGGGTAAACTCCTCTGGATCTTTTCCTTGCTTTCATTTTCTTCGGTGTTTGTTTGATTCAGTGTTTTCAATAAAATAGTCATACTTCTTGCAATTTTTTTCTTTACATTCATGTCTTATGTGTTTCCTTATCATTTGCATGGATTTGAGAACGATTTCTTGATTTGGGAAAAATCTGCTTTCTTCTTCATTTTACTGATGTTTAATGGTTTTTTGTTCATCTTCTTTTTCATAAGGTTGACGATCTCATTAATGTGGCTTTTTTTTTTATCTTCTTTGTCTTTTCTCTGTCTGTCCCTTTGTTTACTCGAGTTTAACATGGATTTTTTTGAATCTTCTCTGTCTTCCCTTTCTCTGTCTGTCTGTATTTACTCAGATTATGTTATTCAGATCTATGTGTTCTAGTGTATAAAATATTGGTCTGTGATTTTTTTTTGTCTTCTCAAACTTCCTTTGCTGTGTATTGACAATGGTTATCATGATTGATGTCTTGCTACTGGTGCATGTTACTGTTTTTTTTTTTCCGAGCATGCAATCAATTACTTTTTTTTTATCTTGAAGTATCAGCAAGTAGTATGATTTTAAGTAATGAAAGCTGGTGTAGATGTATTTTTTTTATTGCTTATTTTCATACTGGAATTCTTTTGGTGCTTCGTAATCTGACAGAAATGGAATTCATCTACTTTTTAGATTCTATTGCATAAAATTTGATTGTAGTTTCTTCTTTCCTGTTTATTCCCTTATCATGTATGCCTTTTGCCTCCAAATCTTGTTCTCTTTGTATTTCTAAACTTGTGGTATTTTAAGTTAGATTGGATCTTACAGCAAGAAGATTTTGTTGGAAAGGACTTTATTCTCCTTGAATAGTAGGAATTCCATTTGTTTTGTGTTCTGACCTCATGAAATCCCCTTCCCCTTTTGGCAATTTATGATCTTTTTCTTGTTATAATTTGGCCATTGGTACAATTCAGTTTCTCTTGGATATCCATGGGCCCTAAAAGCAAATAGTCAGGACACTCTTCTGGAGGCCCAAATCAAAATTTTGATAACAGAGTGGGAGTATATATTCCTGTTTTTTTTTTCTTTATTCATTTCTTAGTAGACTAGTTTGTATCTTTAGTTTCTGACCCCATCTTGATTGAGTATTTGTGGTGACCTGTTGGAAGAGTGTGTTTGTTACGTCTAATTGTCACTGATATGGGGGTCGCTTTGTGCAGGTATAATTGAAGAGGCAGACTGATTATGAAAATGGTGGACAGGGCAAAGGGAAGAAAGGAAGAAGTGGTTACCCGGGAGTACACAATCAACCTCCACAAGAGACTGCATGGATGGTAACCCATATTTTCCTGCCTCTTTTGTTATTGCTTATACTTGCGTTCCATTTGTACAGCTTGTTTGTTCTTTCAATTGAATTTAGATCTGTTATCTTATCAACATATGGTCTTGATGCACACTTGTCTTTGTTTTTCCAGTTTATTTTCACTTTTGAGAAATTTAGTAGGTCAAAACTTGTGGTATATGTGTTTTTTCTTTAAATTTTTAATTTTGATGCAAGTTGTTTTAGTCTAAATGATTGTGGAAGTTTTTATAGTCTAGGTCGAACCTTAGATTAAGTGGTTAAAATTTTCTGAATGTTGTTGGACTTTGCCTGTTGAAGCTTACTCTGTCCAGGGATCAATATTTTGACCATTATATTAGTGATGACAATTGCGTGGTCCATCACTTAATAGATGGTAGTAGGTAATCCACTGAAAATTACATAATTTGCTGATGTAGAAAATAAAATAATTAGAAGAATAAATTAGGATTAAAAATGGTTATTTGCAATTGTTATGTGCTGTAAATGGAGGGAATCACCAATAAATTTGTTCCAATAAGTTTCTCCTTGGAAACAGAATTTTATTAGGTTTTTTCCAGAATTTGTTAGGTTGTTAGGAGTAGTAGACTTGTATATATATGTGTAAATCATTCATCAAAAAGAGAAGAAGTAGAAGAATATTTTTCTCTCAATTTTCTTCATGGTATCAGAGCCATACCTGATCCAAGAAGAAATCAAACCCTGCTGAGTCGTAATAAAAAATGGCCTCGGGTGAGCTTCCATCCTCTCCACCAGAAGTTTTCTATGGTTCTTATCATCACACAACAACAATCAGAGCTGTGAGTGAACTACCATCATCCTGTATCACAGGACATAAACTCGATGCAGCAACTTCCTTCAATGGTTGTCGTTTGTCCGTCTCTTCATCCGCATAAGGGGGCATTATGGGCACCTCACTGACGAGCTCATGCCTCCTCTAGCGTCCGATGCAAATGCACAAACCTGGGAGATCGAAGACAGTATGGTCATGTCCTGGTTCATTACCTCAATGACTCCTGAAATCGGAGAGAATTTTTTTTTCTACGAAACTGCTCACGAAATCTAGAAAGCAGCACAAGAACTCTACTCTAGTAAGCAAAATACCTCTGCAATATTCGAAATCGAGTCAATTTTTCATGACCTTCGGCAAGGAGAACTCAATGTCATCCAGTATTACAATATCGGTCAAAGTTGGCAGCAGATGGACGCCTTCGAGAAGCGTCACTGGAACTACCTCGAGGACACAAAAAACTTGAAAGCTTTTGTGGAAGAAAAACGGGTCTTCAAATTCCTACTAGGGCTAAACAAAAATCTCGACGCGATTCAGGACATGTTCTGAGCACCAAGCCTTTGCCGAGTCTTCGAGAAGT